CCCTGCGTGCCATGGTGAACAACAAAAAGCGAAAGCTTGTGGATGCAGAATCTGTGACCGGCTGCCTGCATCTGCGCGGTGCGAGTGAGACCGCAGTTTCTGAGATATCCTCAAGAAACCGTCCGAAGGACGATAGATGGTCACAGCGGACGTTCTGGCGTCGTGTTAGTGACTACTACGCCCCTCTGCGGAAATGCTACTGCCGCTTGAAGCTGCAGAGCAGCCAAGGCTCGGACCTGGACTTTTGGGTGGCTGACGCACAAGCGATGCTGCAGCATGTCGTAGCACAGAGTGCACAGTGGTGCTCCATGCTGCAGGCTGTGCTCGCGAGGACCGCAACTCTTCGTGTGATCTTGTATCACGACGAATGCACCGCGGGCAACGTCTTGAGCGCAGCCAAGAAGCTCAAGGCTACCATGTGGTATCTCAGCTTCCAAGAGTTCCGCACAGTCTGCGCAAGGGAACATGCGTGGCTGCCTGTGGCTCTGCTGCAGCATCACGTCGCCGATGCTGTGCTGGGCGGTGTCTCAGCCGCCACAGCCAAGGTCTTGCAGCACATCTTGCAGCCTGCCAACCTGTTTGGCTTCGACCTAAAGATAGGTGCAAGTGGTGGCCCTGCTCGTGTTCAGCTCGCCCCTACGGCCCTCTTCATTGCAGATCATGATGCCCAGCGGGCAACTTACTGCAACAAGGGGTCCAGCGGCTACAAGCCCTGTCTCTGGTGTGCGAACTTGCTTAAGCGCGATGCTCCGCAGGCTGCGCTTGGCTCTGGAGTGTTCGTGGACATCTGCGAGAGCAAATTTTCCAGGTTTCACATCGCAACTGACCAGGAGATCTTCGCCGCAGCAGATCACTTAGCCGACATTGCCAAAGCAGGCGAACGGGCGACTATGCAAAAAGCATACGGCTTCAACTTCGTCCCAGGGTCACTGCTTCAAGATGCCGACATTCGAGCCAGAATGCCTCCATCTTGTGCAAGCAATGATGTGCTGCATGCCTACTATGTTAACGGGGTGGCCTCCTGGGAGGTGGGACTCGCCATGCGGGAACTGCAGAGCATCAGCAACATGGATGCCTTGTGGCAAATGGTGCAACAGGAGGGGTGGCAAATGCGTGCACTGTCTCATGGAGAAATAAAGTCCTGTTTCCGGGCTAATCTTTATGACAGCAACGATGGCTTCAAAGGCAGCGGCAACCTATGCTGGGCCTTTGTCTTCTTGCTCTACTATCTTGTTCACCAGCTCCTACACAAGGCCGGCCTCAAACCCGAAGTCTGCAGGAGTTTCTTCCTGTTGAAGAGCATCTCTGCGGAGCTGCGCCGCCTGAAATGGGCGAAACGAGCCCTAGCTTCGGATGATGTGCAGACGCTGCATCGCCTGCAGCAGCAGCATCAAGAAGCCTGGCCTCAGGCATGGGGTCGCGAATCTATGCGACCCAAGCATCATCACAGATTGCATCTGCCTGCGGGCTGTCTGGCTCTTTCCTTTCTCCCAAACTGCGAAACCCACGAATCCAAGCACAGGATCTACAAATCCCATGTCGCTGTGCAACAGAAAAGAACAATAAATGAGAGCCCAAAGTTCCAGATCGCTGTGCTCTCTCGCCTGCTCAATGTCACACTGCGAGAGTCAGAGGAGAAGGGCTTGCTGTTGCCTGCGGAGCTGCAGAAGCCCTTCCAGGCAGCATCCTCTGAACTGCGAGCCTTGACTGGTGACCCCGAGCTCCGATCCGGCAAAGCTTTGCAAATCGGCAATCTGCAGATCCGACCCCAGGACGTCATTCTGTGGGATGCTAAAGCTGCCCAAGTGCTGGGATGCTTCCAAGGAAGATCCGGCTTCTGTGTGCTCACGCTGCGGCTACAGCTTCTGCGGAAGCATGCTTGGGGGTCCGTCTGGCAAATTACTGACAGACAGACCTTGCTGCCCCTGAGTCCTGCTGCAAACATCGATATGCCGGTTTTCTCGAAGCAAGTAGGCGAGACAATCTCCTGCCTGCACTGAGGATGTCAAGTCGGCACTCGCGGCAAAAAAAAGGCCCTGGGAGCAAAACACCTGTGAACTTACACTGAACTTATAAGTTAGCTCTAAGTTCTG